CTCCTCCTCCTTCTCCTCTCCTCCTCCTCCTTCTCCTCCTCCTTCTCCTCTCCTCCTCTCCTCCTCCTCCTCCTCCTCCTGGGCTCAGGATGGCTCCTGCAAGGGACACGCTGCATTTTGGGGCTTTGGAAGGAAATGCAGAGGCTGCAGGAGGATGACAGGGCTCTCCTGGGTCCGTCCATCACCAGCCCTGCCAGATGCACAGACAGCCTGACACGGCTCAGAGCCTTTTCTTAATCTCGCCTTCGTTTTTCCCATGTCCTAAGCACAGCTGGCCCCGGCCCTCCTGCTCTCTAGGAATCCAGTTACTCATCTGTGAGCCCAAAGAGAGCTCACAAGGGACAAGAGGCCCAGTGCTGGACACACAGGAGCACAGAAGGATGCTTGGAGCAGAGTTAAACCCCTTAACACGGGTGAAATGACTCCCGTGTCAGGCAGCCAAGTGCTGGCAGATATTTGGTTACTGCTGTGTCCCTAATATGCATTATTAGTGCCAAAGGTCAGCAAAACCTGGAGATAATTTCACTGAGTGCCGGCCCCTGCCCTCCCAGCACTGTGGGGCCATGGTGACCTGGGAGATGTCCAAGAGCAGTAAAACCACCCCAGAGAGCTGAATTCCGCCACAGGTGGGAGTCACATCTCTAATCACTGCTGACATCAAGTGAAAATAAAGAGCTTTAAAACCTCCAAGTGTGTCCTGGGCTGCATGGGAGGCACCCACAGCAGCCTCCCCACGAGTCCAGGATGGCAGAGCTGAGCATTCCAGACCCCAAAGCCCCCTGGGACCTTCGGTGCCGGTGCTCACCGTGCTGTGCCGTGCGCCGTGCCCGGCGTGTCCCGGCAGCGCGGCTGTCGCCGTCATCGGTGCCACACCTGGGCAGGGCCATCTGATGGAGCGTGGGGGCATCCAGCAACCCACTGGGAGGGAGGTGGGACACCCGCTGGAAATCCCTGCAGAAGTGTTATAAATACATAAATTCATATAAATATATATATAAATATATAAATATTATAATATTGGCTTTTCACAAGTATTAAGATGAATGCTGTATGTATAATTTATCAATGTTTGAACTGTCTGCTTAGTTAGGATAATATTCAATGAACAGATGATGGGGACCCTGCTGATTATCAGCACTCCCTGTCTGTGGAAAGAAGGAGCCAAGGCCCAAATTAAAAGATGATAAGAGAAGAATTAAAACCACAAGCCAAGAAACACACAAGGTGGGCCCAAGGAGTGGCCTAAACAGTTCCTGGAAAATGTAAACTAGTTAATAGAAAAGTTTGAATATACATAAAGTCTATGAATATGCATCAAGTAGATCCAGTAGAAATGGCATATAAAGGGTGTTTCCAAAATACCAGGTGTGCTCTTGGCAGAGAGCCAAGCAGCCGGCTGTTTTAACCCTTTGCTTTATTGTCTTTGTCTCCTATTGTCTTTTTTTTTTTTATTTTTAATTAAACCTATTAAAATTTACCAGAACAGTGAATGTCGTTTTTCACATAAGGAAGGGAAATATCAGCACCCACATCCAGTCCCCACACCCCGGTTTTTGGTTGTGTTTGTGGCCAGGGTTTGACCTGATCCAGGGTTTTCACCCCAAAAGCTTCACACCCCAACATCGGAACTTCATCCAGCTGCTAAAACAAGAAGGATTTGGCTCTGCAACCACAGCTGTAAATCACCTCCTAGCAGGGCAAAAACAAACAGGGGAGCCTAAAATTGCCTTTTCCAGTTTTTAACCCCGGTTACTCGACTTCGCATTTAATTCTGCATTTGGCTTTGCGCAAGGTCAAGCCCTGGATGCTCCCAGAGCCGAGGTGATGTCTTTAGGAGAAATCCAGGCAGGAGCTGGCAGCTCTTCCCCTCTGACATCTCCCAGCCGTCCCCAAGCTCGGCCTCCCCGCAGATTTTATTGCGAGGCGAGCACGGGGCCATAAAAGGCCAATAAAGCAGCGAGAGGCGGGCGGCAGCAGCCGGCACCCAGCTGCAGGAGCCGGGCACGGAGCTGCCTTTCCAAAAAGGACTGGCTGTGCTTCAGCATCAGACCGTGAGACAGAGAACCTCCAGCTGCAAAAAAAAACCCTCTGGCTGCAAAAAAAAAAATCCCCTCGGAGTGCTGGCAGCATCCCTGGAGCTGGAGCTGCTGAGTTCTGACCACATTGTTGAATAAAAGTGTTATAAGTGCATAATATGTTATTGGCTTTTCACAAATATTATAATGAATGTTGTATGTATAAGGTTAGAAAACTTTGTTGTGCTAATATAGTTTCTTTTATTTCTCTTCTTGATGAAACTTTAAAATAGTGGTATAATACATATATATATATATTTATATATGTTAGACTATAACATGATATTAAAGCACAAACTACTTTTCGTCTGTATAACCCAGAGACTGAAAAGACAGTCAGAGACCCCTCCCTGCATTCTTAGATTATCTTGTCCTCCAAGCCCTCCAGGTGAAGGATTTATTGCACCCATTATTGGAGGATATAAACCCAGTGGCACCAAGAAGATTGATCTATTGGGAAGGGGGCAAGGTAAAAACTAAACACAGGAACATCAAAAAACTGAAGAAGAATGTATGAATATGTATGAGAATTTATGGATATGTAGTAGGGTTTTGTTTAGGGGACAATCCTTTGTTAGTAAGGTGAATGCAGAGACACCCAGCCATATCTGTATAGTTTATTTTTATCTCTTGTCTTTCTATTAAACTTTTAATTTCTATCAGAAATATGTGAACCTCGTTTTTCACAGAAGGCTCCTACCTCAGCGCCTCGGTGAACTCGGCGGGGCTGTGCGCGCTCCCCCGCTCCCTGAAGTAGCCGTACTTCTCCAGGAATAGCTGCAAGGAAAAACGGGAAAGGGGCAGCTCAGAGCACGCGTTGGCTTGGGAAGAAGATGGGAAAAAGGAGATGAGGTGTCAAACAGTGCTGCAAACCCCAAATGCCCGCTTGTTTTGCTCCTGAGAGCTCTGCGCCTCCTGTGCCAGGACGGGTTCCTGCGTGTCTCCTCCCCATCCTTTTGGGTGGCTCTTGGGGTTTTCGGCCACCACACCATGGAGGCGTAGGAGGAAAGGAGAGAGAGATGAAAACCCTCTGCAGCCATGTCATCCGCAGCCAGAGGCGACCAAAGCCACAGCTCTGATCGCCCCGGCTCAACTCAGCGATTCCAACAAAGGCCCGAGTGGGGCGGGGTGAGATGGGGTCAGGCTCAGCCTCCCCCCGTTCCCATGCAGGATGTGCTGCTGCAAAAGTGGGGACGCTCCGGGCGCAATTTGCTTTGCCAAACCATTCTTCTTCTTATCGGCCCTTGACACGGACGGAGATTGCCTCTCTGAACTCGCTCCAGCGCTTAAATTGTATGTTAAAGAAAATAAACTGCTCGGGCTGCTCCTCCCCAGCTTTTGGAGGAGTTAATAGCCGGGGTTACAGGAATGCTCCACGCCCGCCTGCCCCACGGCCAGGGATGTCTGCAGGAGACAAACAAGCTGCCCAGCATCCTGTTAGTGCAGCAGAGCCGCAGTTACAGCCATGAATAATAATCAGAATAAAAAGTGAAAGTGGCGGCTTCCCTTCCCCACATCCCAAAGGAGAGGAGTGCTGAGCACCAGGAATGCCACGGGCTGACCCACACAGCAGGGCTGCTGCCCTCTGGGAAAACGGGTGTTTTTAAAGCTGTTTCACTCCCAGCTCGTCTCGGGGTTGGAGTGTTGACCTCCACTCAGTGCTGCTCCTGACTGTGGGTCACCCACTTCTCCTTTCTGTCCCTGCAGAGGAGGCAGCAGCCCTTCCTAGGCCTTGTCACCCGGCAAGGAGAGGGAATGGTTTATGGATGTGGCAGTCCCGAGCTGTGCCAGGGCCTCTCCCCTTCCTCCTCCTGCCCAAACCTTCTGCTTGCCATGAGCAGTCATCTTCATGTCATCCCCAAAGCCATCCCCCCCGTGCCGCCACCTCCCCGCGGGCAGGGCAGGCACATCCACGGGTGCTCTGCAGAGCTCATCTCCTCCAGTTTCATCTCCTCCAGTTTCATCTCCTCCAGTTTCATCTCCTCCTCTATGCCCCTTCTACCTGGAGCATCCCCCTCCGGCAGAGGACCAGCACAGATTCCTGCCTGGACACGCTCTTTACCCAGCCCCACACAAAGAATTTGGCTGGTTTTCCCACCAAAGCCGCCTGTCGCAGCTGGAGGCTCCAGCAGCTCGTCCCAGCAGTGCCAAGAGCCTGAGCACGGCCAGAGTGACCCAGGCACCTCACACTGGCCAGTGAGTCAGGATAAATCAGGCAAGTGCCACACTGGCAGGGAGAACATTGGCTTGTTTGTCAGGAAAAGCCACAACACCTCTGCCCAGGGATGGACCATCCAGCCTGGACTTTCCATTCCTCAGGCACAGCAGGATAACCCCACCTTTATGGGGGCACCAGGAGGCAAAACCCAGCAGCAGCTCAGGATGAGCATGCAGGGATGGAGGATGTGGGGATGGAGGAGCATCCTGGGGATGGGGTGGCTCGGAGCCCTCTGAGAGCAGTTGGAGAAGAGAAAGCATCTGGCCCTTTTCCTCTGTGCTTGTATTTTTATGAAGTTCTCCTCCAGAAGCATGAGATCACCAGTTACGTATAAGGGTGCAGGGTGAAGATCCCAGTGGTGACATCACTGCAGATAAATGTGAGCTGAGAACACCCAGGATGGAAAGTCCTGGCTCTCACACCACGGTCTGAACCTTTCCTAACACAATTTTGCATTCACTCGGCACAACCTGAAGATCTTTCCTCGCCTGGAACCCAACACAACCCCATCATTAAAGCGTGAAAATGCTTTTTCCTCACCATGATCTCATGAAGGCTTCAAAGCCCATCTGGACACGTCAGGGTGCTCAGTGAAAAAAGCAACTCCTGTCCCAGCAGCTGCTCTTGAGCAGCACCAGAAGGCACAGAGGCCACCGGCTTTATCATTCCTGCCCAGAGCTCCTTGAACTTTGCAACTCCAAGCAAAGCAGCATTTTCTCTGTGGTTTCTGACCTGTGCCACATTGAGGTTCTCACACACAGGCATCGACTCTCCGGCTGCAAAACCATCAGGAGAAATTCTGTTACATTTTCTAGACACATCTACTGTCAGCTGAGGGTGATGGTGATCCTGGAAACACAGAGCTGCAGGAGAGAGATGTGCTGATCCCCCATGCCTTCAGGTATTTATCCGAGCACAGAGCACACAAATCCAAGGAGTTTTGGGGGTCCAGGGGAAGCCAAGAGCCCCATGGCACAGTGTCCTGTGCCCAAAGCAGTGCTCGAGGCTCCCCAAGCACTGCACAGCCCCACAGAGCTCAGCCAGGCTCTGGCAGGGCTGGCTGGAATCTGGCACCAGCCCATTAAACATCTCCTGAGACTGCAATGCAAAATCTGGCAGTGCTGGGAAAACCCCCTCCCTCCTGCCCCAGACGGGGAAACGCTCTTTTCCGTACAATGGGAAAAGAAAAACAGCAGGAAACCAAGAGAAACATTAATATGAAATATGCCCAGTTTCCCCTCTGCATGAGGAAGGGAGAGGAGGATGGATCTGGCTCCTGGGAGCCGGTGCTGGGGCAGAGAAGCCCCTGGGGCTGCAGCAGGGACAGCAGGAGGAGTCTGGGGGAGACAGAGGGACCCTTCCCATCTCAGGGCTCTGATGTGGAGCCTGTTGCAACCCTGAAAATCATCCCTGCCTTGGCTAAAGCCAAGGAAACACCTTGCCCTCGACCACAGGCATCCCGGGTGGAAGCCAGCCAGCAGCAAACACAATTAGCCCTCCCTGCCTGGAAGCTGGGATAACGAGAGTGCCGAGACATCAGGCTCCACTCCTGCCTGCTCTCCCCTCCAGACACGCCGGCTCTGGCTCCTTTCCAGCAGCTGAGTACCAGAGAAGCCTCACACTGAGCTCCTGCTGACCGTGCTCCCTCTGCTCTGTGGGTACAAACCCAGTGCAGGGTGGGCAAGTGCTTTGGGTCGTGATTGCAGGTACTGCCACCACAAGCTGCACCTTCAAAGTCTTTTAAACCATGACACAGCCCAGGTGGATCCTAAACCCTGGTTTCAGCATCCTCAGGCTCATTCCACATCATCTCATCACGAGAAGGAGCACAGCAGCTCCTGCTTTTCATCCTCAGTTTCCCCCAGTGCACACACACGAGGAGAGCTGGCCTGGGCCGTGTTTTGGCATGGTCACAGAAGGAGAAGCAGCTCCTCCTGCCCACGGGGTCCCTGCTGCCTGTGAGCTGCCTCCAGAAGATGTCACATCAATTAAAAACGCTCATTTGCTTCCGCTCATCCCTGCAAAGCCTCAGGCAGAGTAAGCGCGCCGCTTTTGTTTAAGTGTGTGTAAAAATATCTCTGTAAATATTATATCCACAGACACAGGGAGACACACGAGAAGGGGCATTAGCAAGCACAGAGCCTGGTCATCCTCCCACTGCAAAGGCAGAGAAACCTCAGCTGATTCTCACACTTAAAACCCCAAGCTCTGTCTGGCTGCTGGGTGTTCCCCTGCTGCGCCTAACCCAGTCCTGAAGGAATCTCCTGTCCCGCCTAGCACTCCTAAAAATCTACTTTAGCAGCAAATAATGCACTTGTCAGTAAAAATGGGGAGCTGGGGGTCTTCTAAACTCCTTCTATTTAACAATTGTGTTGTTTATAGTATAAATAAATAATGAGATAGAGTATTTCTCTCAGTCTTTTAAAGCTGAGAAGCAGTAAGCCAGGCCTAACTAAAACCCCTCCTGGTTTCACTGACTGGATGTGGCTTGGAGCAACTTGGTCTGGTGAAAAGTGTCCCTGCCCATGGCTGGGGGTGGGATGAGATGAGCTTTAAGATCCCTTCCGACCCAAACCAATCCATGATTCTGTGATAACTCCTTGGGAAGCAGCCGGCAGCTTTGCCCTGGTACTGCCAGCACCCCACACCCCGATGGGCTGCAGCACCAAAACTCCCAAATGCGACCCAAAACACTTGGGGAAAACACCGGGCTTGGCCAAACCTTCCCCTGCGAATACCAGAGCAGCTGACAAACCAGTTTGGTCATGCAGACTGGTTGTGTTTTCGTGTCTAAGGACAGAAAGGAAACGAGTCTTGCCCTCCAGCGGGGTGGGAGCCGGGGGAAGGCGCCGCAGCCCCTCGCCCGGCCGGCGATGTTTGCCCTGACAAGTGGGGATTGTTTGGGGGAGAAGCAGGAAGAAAGCCGGGCTGTTTGTGCTGCGGTGACTCACGGGGTGTAAATCACACCGGGACACTCGCTCGCCACATCCGCAGCAGCGGCTCAGGGGTGTTACAGAGCCCAGAGATGCCTCAGAGGGGCGATTCCTCCTCCTTCCATCGCCGTGCTGAGGCTGAACAGCAGGGTGGTTTTGTACAGGGAGGAGGATTTCTCTGCCTCGTTTCAGAAGGAAAATGTGGGATGCTCTGTGCCCCAGCTGACCCCCGAGCCCCACCGCGTCTGTGTGGTACCCAGGACCCTCCCTCCATCCAGCTGTGCTCAGCATCCTGCATCCCAACTGGCTGCCTGCTCCCTAAAGATGCTCAGCTGGACACTGGAGCATTTCCTAAACCCAGCCCAGAGCCCAAAAAGTGAGGCCTTGGTTCGATAAGTGGGAGAAGTCGGCGTGCACCAGATATTGCAAGATGGAAAGGAGAAGGGCAGGACAGTGCAGGGAGAAAAAATTGGAAAAAAAAATCTAAAATGAGAATTATTCAGTCCATTAGTCCTGTTTCCATTCCCTGTTTTTTCTCAAATTTCTCCCCAGTTTTTATTTCCATCAAAACAGACCTGGAGCTTCTCACACAAATCTCTGCAGGGACTTCATTGTCCTTTGTCCTTGGCTCCACAGAACCTCACCGTGCTCCTCAGTCCCACCACGGGCTGAGATCTCACATGTCTCGTGTATTTTACACAATTCCCCCGGGATCAGGGGATCTCGGGCATTACCACCCCCCCAGCTGCTGTCTGAGCACAGCCCAGCCAGACACCAGCTCTGCCAAACAATCTGCTCTCTTACATTGGGCCCTCTCCTATCTGGAGCTGATAAGATGATTTCACATACAAATGTTTCAAATTAAATTTTCGAATTTTTCCTTATTTTTTTAATTTATTTTTTTTTAACTGCAATTGATATGGATTCGGTGAAAACGTGGGCACCAGCCAGGAAAAGCACACAACTGGACATTTTCACATTATTATGCAGCTAAGTTTACACAACCTATTGTTGCTAACTGTGGCTTTTTAAAAAGAATTTTTAAAAAAAATAATAAAATTTTAGAAGCAAAGCCTGGAAGTGCTCTGAAAGCCACAAGCCACCAGAACTATTTGATGTTATGGGAGAATTTCAGCTTCCTCCTAAAAGAAAATGAACTGCTTAGTTTATTTAGATGAGTTCCACTCCCCAACCTCTGCATTTCCATTGTGTGTGTTGTCCCAAAGTCCCTGGCCAGCACAGCATGTCCCCTTGGGGAAACTGAGGCAGGGAGACAGGAAAGTCACTTGCCCAGCAACTCCTCACAAGGGATCTGCCACAATCCTGGGATCTGTTCCGAAGCTTCAAGTGAGAAGAACTCAGAAGTCACCAATGAGGAGTGGAAAGGCAAATTTGGATTGTTAAAGCAGTTGTTCCAAATCAGTTGGTTTTATTTTAAAGTGAATTTTAAATTATTCATTTTCTGAGCATTAAAATCTTTACAGATTTATTTTCTCCAGGTGGCATGAGGGGATGAGGTTTGTGCACAGTGGGAAAAGCACAACTATTAATGACCTCTCTGAAGCTGCATCTCCCAACAGAAGAAACCTGTGCATCAAAACAAGCCTCTGAGCATTCCTGAGCACTTTTCCTCTCAGAGCATGTGCTCAAAATCCCAATTAATTCACCAGGACTTGCTGGCTGCAGTTGAAAATTAAGCATTTGTGCAAATGTACGTTGGATCGAGGCCTAAACAAGAAAAAATCCCCAATATGAGCCTTTGTTCACCAGCCAAATCTCACACCTTTGTCCTCCCAAGACAAACAGGAATGGATGTTGGCACTTGGTGACAATGACAGCAGGACAAACAGAATAAATCCAAACAGAGGTGATGGGAACAATCCTGGGGAGAGGCAGGCAGGGGAAGGACTGGCTTTTGTCCCCTCCTGATACAGGGAGATGGGAAGGTTTGCAGGTGCACATCACCTGTGGGGACACCTGGACACAGGTTGAGAGAGCTGGGTTGTTCATCCTGGACAAGAGAAGGCTCCAGGGACACACAGAGCCCCATCCAGTGCCTAAAGGGGCTCCAAGAGAGCTCAAGAAAGATTTTGGACAAAGGCAAGGAGAGATAGGACAAGGAGGAACGGCTTAAGATGAAATAGGGCAGACTTGGATTAGATATTGGGAAGGAATTGTTCCCTGTGAAGGTGAGGCCCTGGCACAGGGTGCCCAGAGCAGCTGTGTCTGCGCCATCCCTGGAAGATTCCAGGCTGGGTGGGACAGGGCTGGGAGCAATCTGGGATAGTGGAAATGTCCCTGCCCATGGCAGGGGGTAAAATGGGATGAGTTCTAGGTCCAGTCTAACCCAAACCATTCTGTGATTCTCTGTGGCCACAGCCCCTGGCACTCCAACACAACCCAATGGCACAGCCCCATCTCCAGCTGGCACAGCCACTCACCTGTGCCACACTCACCGCCTGTACCCAGGGCACACGTGGGTGCACAGGCGTCAGGAGCTCGTGGGCACTCACCTGTGGTGGGGATGTACTTTGGGGACACATTCATACCTATGGCACGGGCACACCAGGGACATGGGCACACCTGGGACATAGTGACACCAGGGACATGGGCACACCTGGGACATAGTGACACCAGGGACATGGGCACACCTGGGACATAGTGACACCAGGGACATGGGCACACCTATGGCACGGACTCAGTGGGGACATGCACAGCCGGGGCTGGGGGACATGGGCACATCAGGGACACGGGTACACCCCTGCCACGGCCACACGCGCACACGGAGGGGACGCACACCCAGGACCTGCTCCCGCCCCTCCCCGCCGGTGCCGGTGCCGGTGCCGGTGCCGGTGCCGGTGCCGGTGCCGGTGCCGGTGCCGGTGCCGGTGCCGCTCCTACCTCTGCCTGCCGCCGCTGCCCCATTGCGGTGGCTGCGGGCCGAGCAGCCGCCAGCAGCCCCATGGCCAGGGCTGCCCGCAGCGCTGCTGCCATCCCCGCTCCGCTGCCGCCGCTCCGCTCGCCGCCCGCCGCCGCCGCCCCTCCCCGCCCCGGCCCCGGGGGCGGCCCCAGCTCCAGCCCTCCAGCCCCGGCCGAGGGCCGGGCTCCGGCAGCAGCACCGAGCCGAGGGGCTGTCCCTGCTCGGGGCTCCCCCCCGTGCTACCCGGCCCGGGGGAATGACCCCGTGCGTGCCCTGTCCCCCGGGAGCATCGCGCTGCCGGTGCGTCTCTCCTGCCAGCTGGGACAGTGCTCTGCGCGCTTTGAAAAGTGGAAAAGAGAAAGCAATTCCAGCTTTTCCTAAACCTGTGTTCATGGCCCAGCACACGCGGAGGCAGGGTCGTGCTGTGGGCCAGCGCTTGCCATGAGCTCAGCAGCAGAGAAGCTGGGCCAGCAGTGCAGCCCCTCTTCAGGCAAAATCTACACTTCAGAGCAGTGTTCCCTCAAGCTTTACATGATAACCACACTCTCAGGGCTGTGGTTTGTACTCCTTCTGCTTAAATTTCCCTCTCAGGCAGGGGAGGTGGTGGCCCGTGGGCGAGGAGGGGCTGTTTGCTGCACCGTGTCAGTGTCACAGCTCTCCTGCAGCTCACACACAGCTGATGATCTTGAGGGTTGCAGTGACAAGTCAACAGCTCTGTTTACTCACAGCAGTATTTTGTTCCACTATTTCGTTTTAATTTGACTAAAGCAAAAGGATGTTTTGATTCTGCTTTGGTTCAAGGGGAAAATAAATAGGATGTGACTTGTCTGCTTTTGTTTTCATGCCAGCTTCAACCCCACACCTATTTTAAAGCTCCCAGGCTCCTTCCTCCACTTTTTAATCATAACCAAAACCTGAAGTTACAGAAGCCTCTGTTGAGTGCAGCTTGAAGAGAGTTGCAGAGAGCCTGTGACACTTTGCTTTAGAGCTGGACAGGGATATAGGGAAGGGAAGCAGCATTTGAAGGAGAGAGTAAGCGATCCACATAACATGGAAAAATAGGGAAGTCGCGGAGCTAAAAGGTAATAAATATAGGAGAAATGAAGGTTTTGTGGCTGGGCCAGTAAGACCTGACTGAGGAGCTGCTGCAGAGCACAGTGGGCAGTTGGCACAGCCTGAGGGATGGTGTGAGGGGAATACTCGGCCCTGGCAGCAGGGAGAGCCAAGGGATGGCCTCTCCTTACACAGGTCAGCCTCACACTTCCTTTCAAAACAAGAGCAGCTCTGTCTGCAAATGTATCCGTGTTTGTGTCGTATCTAGGAAGCAACTGATCCATCTGCTCTTCCACTTAAGAATATGGATGATGAGAAAGTGACTGGCTGGGCTCCAGGCAGAGGCAGGAAACTCCCTCCTCTGCTCATTGTAATGTGGGGAAGCGTCTGGGAGGGCACCTGCAGTCTCCAGAGCCGCCAGCTTTCCGACCGGGCATTTCCCGGGGCTGCTGCCTTAGTCCTCAGGGGTTTTGGCATTCAGATATGGAGAAGAATTCATCCCAGCCTTGGGGATGCCAAATCATATTTCTCTGCAGACTTTTGGCTGGGAGTATAAAGATGTTTATCCAGCTGCTGTAATCAGAGCGGTATCAGGAACAGAAATACTATCTCATGGAAAGGTGAACAGATTTCCGGCTTCTTCAGTTCTTCAGTAGGTGAAAACTCAGAAATGAGGCAAAAAAAAAAGTTTCAGTCCTTTTAACTTCTACCCCAAAACTGAAACCTAACCAGTCATGCCTGTGGCAGAGAACCAACAAATGCTTTTGTAAAGCATTCACAAAGAGTATGGTAAATAGATCCCTACAAGCTCTGGTTGCCTAATCATTCCTGATTTCTTGTGTTTCTAGAGAAAGTCCCTCCTCTCCCTCGAGTTTAACTCAAAAGATCTCAGTGCACTCACTGAGCTCAATTTCCAAACCCTTTCCTAAAGACACCTCCCAGCTCAGAGAACCAGAGTGTTCCTAATTTAATATCATTTGCATATTGACCTGTAAACATCCCAGAGAACTAAATGTGATCACCACAGGTGTGGAGTCCGGCATGGGGGAGGCTGGACTGTCCACAGGGGCACATCAAGAGCAGCTGAGCATTGCAGAGAGAAGCGCTGAAGCACCAGTGGATCCCTGTCTGGGGTGAGATCCAAGAGTTCATAAACCAACATTATGAAACAGCTCTTGTGAGCTTTCTCAGAGCAGCTCTGAGTGTTTATCGTAACTGATAAGCAAATAGCAACCCTGTTACTCCTCTGTGGCAGTTCCTAACCGAGATGGATGTGATGCACAAGAACCTACCATCAAAAACCTTTAAAGCTCTGCACTGAAAACGGGTTCAAGTTGTTCCTTTTCATCCTTTTAAGAAAAGCAGCTCTTCAGATGTTTGCTGCTGTACAGCAGCAGGATGGCTCAGTGGGTGCTGTGCCAGCCAATGTCCAAAATCCTCATCCTGCTGCTGCAAAGTGGCCAGAGCTGGGACTTTGGATCAGGTCAGACAGGCCCAGTCACAGCTTTCCCTCCCAACCCCAGCCTGCAAGAGTCAAATTCTTTACCAAGGCACAAGCAGCTTAACGTTCCTTGGGCTGCCACAAGAGTGAAGCTTTTCTGCTCAGTTTTCTGGGTACTTCATTTGTGCACACTAAGTTCTCACAGGTCAAAGGACCTTCCTGTGTCCTTAAAATGTGTTAGAAAGTCTGTCTTGCCCAGTATCCTGTCTCAAACAGAGCCAGGAACAGACACAAGGGTGTTACAGAGAAAATGCTAAGTCTGCAGACTTCCCTTGGCTTTACCTTTTGTGTGTAGAGTTCCTGGAAGTCAGTGAGGTCAAGAAGCTGCATCCAGCTGATGAGGCCTCCCATGAAAACACCGATTTTCTGGAGCAGTTTGAATCTCATTGGTATTTGCTCGGCAAACAGCCAAATCCATGCATCTCTTTCTAGGATCAGGGAGACACCTGAGCTCCAGCAAACATCACCACCTTGGTATGAAAAGTGGAGTTTTAAGCAGTTTTGAGTGCACTCTGACAGCTGTATTTTATTACAACAGCTTTACAAGCAACTGCTACAGCAGCATTAGCAACATCATTGACTGGGACATCATCACACGGGCTCAGTTACCCTGGAAATGAGAATTATCAGTTCTAGATTAGGCAAAACCAGCACTGGCTGGATCCTGGCCTCAAACTCCTGAGAGATTGGCTTCAGTCACTGCTCCCATATCTCTCTTTAGGACTGTGGTATTTGAGCAACTTAAAAGTTGCATTTCTTCTCAGGGTGAGGTAAGTTTGGCTGCAGAGGCCCAGCATGGAAACTATTTGTGTGTCTCTGAAAATGTTTAGCTATTATTTTATATTGGAGTGGCATTTCAGCTCTGTAAGGATCACATGCCACTCCTGCATTGGCATCCCTCTTTTCTCCACCAAGTCCTTGTTGAACTTGGCAAGTGCTAGACCTGTTTTTATAAATACAGCACCAGCATTCCCCACAGAACTGATTTCCAAAGCAAAACCCTCGCCACTAAGAATATGTATTATTGGAAGATGGAGCATAAATAGAGATGAAGGCAGCAGAGCAGAGCTGCTCCCAGCTATGCTGAGAACAAACTGCTCCTTTCTGCTGAGATAGATTCTCCTGGTTTTCCACCTCCTGTCAGGACAGATCTACTGTCCTATCCCTCCTCAGTCTGGAATTTTATTATAGGAAGTCCTACCAAATCCTCACACAGCACTGGGAAGAACTACAATTAATTCAGTCCTTAATATACTACATTTTTAAAGTTTTTTACTTTCCTTTTAACTTCAATTAAAGCTTGTCCTGGCAAATTTTAGCCAGCTGTGGAGAAAACCTGCAGGACCAAAGGACTTAGCAGAAGCAGTTGGAGGGCAATGACACAGTTAAACCATCATCTGGGTTTATATTTTTTTACAGAACATCTTCCCAGGCCTCTCTGAGCTAATTTAACTCTCACTGCACCAAAGGCAAGTAAAACAACCCACCAAGCCAGTATAGTTTCTCTGCCCTGCTGATTTTCTGAAAGACCAAGCAGCTTCTGAAGGTCTCTTAAAAACATGCAAGAACTCAGGCTGTTCTGCCCCAGTGCAGCACAGAACATAAACAAGTGCTCAGCATCACTGCCAGGTTGGAACAGCTGAGAAGGTGGTGACAGCTCCAGTTTTGTGGCTCACTTGAAGACTCATCTACTTGGTAATCCTGGGCAGTGACTGAAGAAGAAAGAGCTCTTAGCCTGGGGGAGAAAGCAGGGTTGGAAGCTGAGCTGGCACTAAAGGCAGCTACAACTGTTGCTCCCAGTACTGGAAGCACTGCTTGAACCACCAAGCCCTTCTCCAGGAGGGAAAAAGCCAGAGTCCCACCAGGGAACTGCAGAGAGAAGGGGGATGCTGCACCAGCCCTGGGCTTGCTCAGCTCAGCCATTTCCAATTTTGTGCTCCCCTCTGAGGGCTCCAGCTGCACCCTCAGGAGTTGTTTGTGCAGTGCAAGGTGTCAGCTCTGCTGGAGAACAAACCTCAGCAGGGATACTGAGGCTGCTCTCAGCGGCTGATTCCTGCTTTCCTTCCATCCCATCCAGCTGGCACCATTCCTGCATCTGCCAGCACAGCAGTGGGCAAGAGCACCCTCTAGCCTCTTCCCTCCAAACAGTAACTCCAGCTTCAAAACCATCAGCATCCAACTTTTCTAGGCCAGCAAATCAACAGATGCTGAATTCATCAACTTTCTGAACCCTCATATACCATACACTGGATTTGATACTGTCACTAGCACATATATACCTCAAATTCTATTGTTTTAAAAGGAACAAGCTGTCCATAATCTGTTACAAATGTTTTTTTCTAATAGAGCTTTACAGGAGAAACCTGAAAAAGGTCCAGCAGTCACCACATTTACAACCCTGGGTAATGTTGATTTGAACTCCGTTATCATAACCATCAATACACACTAAGCTGAGGAGGTGGCTCATAACCCTTAACAAAAGCTGTTTCTGTTCATTTCTCAGTGAG